GACAGGGTTTCTCTGTGTAGCTTTGCGCCTGTCCTGGAACTCACTTGGTAGCCCAGGCTGGCCTCGAACTCACAGAGATCTGCCTGGCTCTGCCTTTAGTGCTGGGATTAAAGGCGTGCGCCACCAACGCCCGGCATGGATGCACTGCTTTCTAAGAGACGTGATGTAGCCCCATAAACCAACTAGTGGTATTTCCATAAAGATCCCTAGACCATTGAAATACTCAGTGAGTGGTGTCCCAAGGATACAGGTCAAATCCCAATCGTACTTCAGGGGAAAAAATTGTTTGTTCCCCTGGAGAAAAAATATGAGAGCTACAAAGCTATAACTCTCTCAGTCTCTATTTATTTACTTTATTCTTTTTTTCCTTAGTTTTTCGAGAGAGGGTTATCTCTGAGCAGCCCTACCTGTCCTGTAATTCACTATGTAGAGGAGGCTGTCCTCGAACTCACAGAGATCCGCCTGCCTCTGCCTCCCAAGTGCTGGGATTAAAGGCGTGTGCCACTACCGGCCAGCTGAGGGCAATAACTCTTAAGATTTACATTCCAGCACACCACATATGTATTACAAGCTGTTGTCACTACGATTCTTAGAACAGGCTAGTATGCTAGCTCCATTTTACTACTGGGTAAACAGAGGCACAAAGAGAGGCCACTTATCTTCCTATCGGTGGATGAAACAGGAACTAGATACAGACAGTCTGATTTCCGAGCCAGCGCTCTAGTAAACAGAGGCTAAGGAACAATAAAATCCCAAACCCTAAGCGCTCACACGTCACCCCTCATAAAGTCAAAGCTTTTCTAAGAATTGATGTGACTGCTGGCCTCACAGCGGCATCCTTCTGCCTGATTTTAAATGCCTTCTCCAGCAAAGCTTCCGCTGAAAAGCTAAAGCAAACCAAAGGAGCGTTTAAGAACAATGTCCTTGCCTTGTATTTTTTTTTTTTCCAATTACAAAACAGAGTTTAAAACAAAGACAATCTCCGAACCCCCATCCACAGAAATGATGTTCGAGTACCCAGCCGACATCAGTTTGGGATGGCGAATCCCAAATCCGAGGGAACGGACTCGGAGCGTGGACTCGCGAGGAAGGGGTTAAGTGGCAGAAAGTTGGTCCCGGGGAGCCCGAAGCCACGGCGCCCGCGGACCGGCCCGCGAGGCTGCTGCCTGTAACAAGATGCCCGGCCCCCGCCCGCCACGGTCTCCGGAGATGGAGCCGAGCCAATCGGCGCCGGGGAGGACCGCGGTGCCGTCGGACCGAAAAGGGGGCGCGGAGCCGGGGCGGGGCC